CTCCTCCCTCCTCCTCCTCCTCCTCCTCCTCCTCCTCCTCCTCCTCCTCCTCCTCCTCCTCCTCCTCCTCCTCCTCCTCCTCCCCGTAGCCATGTTGGCTCAAGATGTTGAGTTCCGCAGGGGAACAAGTGGATACCGCTAGTCCGCGGCAGTGCCAGGGCTGTTCAGCCCGACATCTTCTCTCGAGACCTGTACGGGGAACTACGCGCTGCCGTCCAGAGTCCCAGCCCAGCCCGCCGCCATGTCGGATCGCAGGCGCGGAGGCGGCAAGTCCCCAGCTCCAAGGGTCTCCTTCTCGTCCGACTACGTGGGATGCAAGAAGTGCGGTTACCGTTGGACCTACAAGACCAAGCAGTCCTGCTACAGCTGTGGGCAGGCCCTGCGACCATCGTACTCTCCTGCTCCCAAGCCCCGTGGCGTCTGGGCTAGCGGCAGCGGAGGCTGGTGGCAGGACAACCACAAAGGCGCCGACTGGTACCAGGAAGCCGAGGAGACCACGCAGAGGACCGAGCCGCTTGCGATCGGCGAGGTGGCGCAGACCCTCGGCGGGCAGGCCCTCTCCGAGGCCCAGAGGCAGGCGCTCCAGCAGCTCGAGAGCGCCTTCGCCCCGCCGGCCCCTGCAGAGCGCCCCGCGCTCCTGGAGGAGGGCATCCAGCGGGCGGCCGCGGCGGAGAGGGCTGCTCGTCGGGAGCTGGAGAAGCGTGCCAAGCAGCTGGCCGACGCCAAGCTCTGGCTCGACGAATGCCAGGCTCGATCCGATGCGGCAGCTGACGCCCTGGTGGGGGCTGAGGTCAAGCTGGCGCAGGAGAAGAAGGCGTTGGCGTCGCCAGGCAAGGACCCTCAGCCTGAGGGGACCAACAAGGGCGGCGGGGTCATCAACCTCTCTGCCTTGTTGGGCGAAGGAGAGGCCAGTTTTGTCATCGAGGACGGCCCCCTCTTCGACCTGGAGGGGCTGGATATCACATCCGAGCAGCGGCAGCAGTTCAACAAGCTCAAGCAGACCTTCGAGGCGGCGGTGCAGCAGGCGGCCCGCACGCACTTCGGGCCAGGGGCTGACGTCCTCAAGTCCCAGCGCGAGCAGCTCGAAGAGATCAGGATGCTCCGCGAGACCTTCAAGAAGCGCAGGCGGGAGCACCCCCCTGCGGCCGCGGCGGCAACAGAGGCGTCATCGCCCCAGACCCCCGAGGGGAGCCCGCCGCAGGCGCCTGCCCAGGCCAAGCGCGAGGACCCTCCTGCGGAGGCGGCGGCTGCAGAGGCGCCAGCGGCCCAGAGCCCCGAGGGAGGCCCGCCGCAGGCGCCAGCCCAGGCCTCCCAGGAGGCCCAGCAGGCTGCCCAGCCCGCCGCGGAGCCGCAGGGTGCCCAGGGCGCTTCGCCTGGCGCTGCCAGCTCTGACGCTGGCCCTGACGCTGGTCGTGAAGCCGCTGGCAAGGAGCTGGCGGAGGCCTTGCAGCGCGCCAGGGCTCGCAGGGCGGAGGCAGTCGCCAAGCCAGTACCTCTTTAGCCCGCACGGGCTCGGCAGCCTGGCCTCCACGGCTGCAGGTACCAGTACACAATGCTCTACATGGTCGGGTTCATGGCATGAGCCCAGCACGTCGCAGGAGCCAGAACCTTTCAGAGGGTCTCCTCCTGACGCAGTCAGTACATCATTCTCTACATGGTCAAGTTCACCGAAGGCGAGCCCTCCTCGTCGTCGAGGCAAGGGCGGCACGCGCAACGTGGGGCTCGAGTTCATAGGCTTCAACTGTTCATCTTGGGCGCAGGCTACTGATGTCTTGGATGAGGCCGCTACAAGGAAGATCGTGGGCCCCATGCATATCACGTTCCTTCAGGAGCATAGGCTGACCGCGCCCATTGCCAAGGACATCGAGGCGGCCAGCTTCAACAGGCACTACACGGCAGCACTGGTTCCAGCTGTCAGCGGCCCAGGCGGACGGCCGACTAGTGGAGTTGGGTTCCTCGTGCCAAGGAATGTTGGCCTTACACATCTTGAAGGCATGAATACGTTTGATATCTCACCTCCTGGGTCGCCTGGCCGCGTGGCAGTGGGCTGGTGCGCTGCTGGACAGAAGGGTGGCCTCATGATTATCACGGCATACTTTTGGACACGGGAAGGTTGGACGATTCGAAATTTGTCAATTCTGGAGCCCATTGCAACGGTCATCAAACAGCACGACATACCGTGGGTATCCCAAGCAGACTTCAACGAGACGGGGGAGTCTTTACTCAAGACGGGTTGGTGCCAAGATGTGGGTGGAGTTGCGCGACTCCCTTCCACTACCACGCGTGCAGGAGTCGGCGGTGGCAGTATCATCGATTTCTTTGTGCTCGACGCCCGCATCCAGCATGCTTTCGGAGACACGGTAGAAGTATTAGACACCGCAGCCGCACCTCACTCGCCCGTTTGCCTAGTCATGCAGTCCAGGATGCGAGCAAAAGGCGGCTGGAGGCTTGCCAAGCCCAGACCTTTCCCAATGGAGAGGCCGTGCGGACCAGTCCCGCAGCCTGCACAGTGGCCAGATTTCGATTATCAGGACGATTTAAATGGCACCCAGCTTGACCAGCTTTGGAAGCAGATTTCACACTGTGCTGAAACAGAGCTGGTGAATCTCCTGGGCGTGGAAGAACCCCAATCCTACCTCGGTCGGGGCGATCCTCCTCGGTGGACCTGGGCCCCCCTCGCTGGTCCTCAATCGCACGCGCGCCCCAGGGGAACGCCTAGCTCCCGAGCTTGGCGGTGGGTCGCTGCACGAGCCAGTGATTTTATTTTCCTCGCACAAGCTGCCCAGCAGGAAGGTACCTGGATGCATGCACGCGCGCGACGAGCAAAGCTCGAGCGCCGCATCGAAGGAGGAAGGAGTCGGTTGGTTCACGACTTGGGGGAGGAGGCTGAGCACGTAATCGCCCAGTTTGAACGATACCGCGCCTTTTGTCTCGAGGGCCCAGCGCTCATGGAGCAGGCCCCCGAGATCATGGGTCTCCAGCGACGAGCTGTAGCCAACGCTCAGACCATCGAGCGGCAGCAGGCAGCCACACGGTCAAAAGAATGGCGAGAACGTTTGAAGACGGAATCGGCAGCAGGCTCTTCTTTCATC